AAAATGTAAAAAATAGATATAAATAATTTAAGGGAGTGATTAAGAAAAAAACATTTTTACTTATATAAACAAGTACAATGAGTAAAGAAAAGAATCAAAAGCTATTAACTGTGTTCGCTGAAACCAATTCTTGCTCCAGCTGTTGTTTGACTCTATGCCAACTATGTTCATCCTTATCATTTGGACCTTCTTCTGTTATTAGGTCCCTTTCATCAATACTGTCTGTGTTTAATAAATCTTGACTAATCATTTTATTTATTATTGGGGTTTAATTAAAAATCTTTTTAATTATGATTTTTGATAGATTTGACATTTGATTTACAATTTCTGAATTCATTCCACTAAGATAAAGTGTATTGAGTTCTGGTAACAGTTCTCCCCTTTTTAATTCTTGATCTTCCCTAAGATCAAATATACTCTCAGGTATTTCTTCAGTCATTATTTTTATGTCTTTTCTGTTAACTTTTCTGATTAAACCAGTTTCAAGTGATTGTATTTTACATGTTCCCTTTCCTACATGTTCTATCACTACAAATGAACCATACCACTTTTCTTCAGTCTTAGTTCGGTTCAAATCTCGATTTTTATACATACATAATACTCCTTCTTTTAGGTCTTGTTCTGGGTGAGTTTTTCCTTCATTTCGTTTTTCAATTAATTGTACGTATTTTTGGTTTACTTGCGTAATATGTTCCACTGTTTCAAGGTATTTAGCTTCTCTTAATTGTAACTGTTCTTCTCTGGTAATAGCTTCAGATTCAACTTTTGCATATTGATTTCCTTTATTTATGTATGGTTTCCTTCCATATAATAACTCAAAAGGACTTGCCTTTAATTTCTCCTTTGGGCTTATTTAATAATGATAAATTGCTATACTTAGCATATCATCCCAATCTTTTTCATTTACAATAATTTTAGCCAGTTTGGCAATAATAGTTTGATTTGTTCTTTCTGCTTTGCCGTTACTCCAAGGGGAGTAAGGGGCAGTTAGTCTCATTCTGATCCCCCATTCCCTAGTAAGTGCTTTTATTACTTCATTGTTAAATTCCAAGCCACAATCGGTTCTAATTTCTTGTGGTGGACCATGACGTGTAAATACTTCTAATAAAAATTTTTTTACATTTTCTGCCGTTTTATTTTTTATTGCCCTTCCTTCTACAAAACCGGTTGCATAATCTGTAATTAATATAACATAACGATTTCCTTTATTAGTTTTTGGTAATGGACCCATTATATCTATTCCAATCATTTCAAATGGGTTATTCCTTATTACTGGTTGAACTTTAAAGTTTCTATTGTGTGCTAAACACTCAGTGCATCTCTTTAACACTTGTTTTATCATTTCATACTTGGTCTTACTATGTAATGTAACAAAATAAATTGACGGGTTACAGCAACACCCCCGTGTCCACATTGGTGGTGTGCTTCTTCTACTAACTCTTCTAATTTTGGAATTTCTTGCTTTTTGATTTCTAAACTACATAAATCTTTTCTAGATAACTGGTCAGCTGTTATGTTTTTACGTCCTTCTATATATTCGATTTTAAAGTTATAACATGATAATTTCGTAATCCATCTTGCTATTCGACCTTGTGGATCTTGAGTATTCATAAAATAAACTAAAGGTTTATGGTCTACACGTATGATAAAAGGTTTAAACAGATAATGTCTAAATGATTCGATTGCATACACCATGGCCAGTGCTTCTTTATCAGTTGTACTATAATTATACTCAGCACCTCTTACTTGTCTACTTGCAAACCTGATAATTCTTTCATTCTTCTTTTCACCCCCTTGTTTCAAAACAGCACCAATACCCTCATTGGATGCATCGGTTTCTAAAATAAACGATTCATTTATATTGGGTATATCTAATCCTACTTTATTGGTCAATATTTCTGTTAATTCTTTTAAAGTTTTATCTACTTTTTCTTGGTCTCACTCTATGTGTTCTATAATCATTTGTTCAACTGTTTTGTTTTGCTTGCAAAGTTTCTTATAAATTGTCTATAGTATGACAAGAATCCTAAGGCTGATCTTAACTCCTTTTTATTTTTCGATTTTAGTATATTTTGTAATTTTTCATTTTTACTTTCTGCTGGGAACAATTTCTTTTCCATTATTTTAAATCCTAAGAATTCAATTTCTTTCTTTATAAACTGGCATTTATCTAAATTTATTTTCAATCCATATTCGGCTAATTGATTCAAAATTTCTTTCAAAATATTATAATGTTCTTCTTTTCCTTTTGAGAAGACTATAATATCATCCATATATGCTATACATTTATTCGGAATAAATTTCTGTAAAACTACATACATTATGTTTTGGAAATGTGATGGTGCGTTTCTCAAACCAAATGGCATTTTCTTGTAATGATATTTACCTGTTACAGTTGTAAAAGCTGTCATATGTTTACTTTGTTCATCCATAGGTATTTGGTGATATCCTGCTTCTAAATCAAGAGTTGAAAAATAATTTGAAACACCTAATACATCAAAACATTCTTGTGTTGTTGGTGGAGGACAACTTTCTTCTTTTGTTATGTTATTTAACAATCTAAAGTCTACACAAATTCTCCATTTATTATCTTTCTTTGGAACTAAAATTATAGGAGAGTTCCAAGGTGAGTTAGATTCTTCTATTATTCCTTTAAGCAACATCTCTTCACACTGTCTTTTAACTTCAATCTGTTTCTCTATATTCATTCTATATTGTCTCTTGTTTACTATAGGCATATTTTCTTTTATACAAATGTGATGTGGTATAAGTTTTTCTTGATTTTTATAATATTTCCTTATTTTCTTATCATATTCTTCAATAATTTGATTTAATCTTTCGTCCTCAGATTCCCATAACTCTTTGTTATGTTCTGTCTGTACTACTTCTCCTGAGATCATTGTTGCTAAGATATCTTCTGCTTTTAATTCGATCGTTTTCATAGTTTCATTTCTTATTTTTGTTAAATTTTCACCTTCTTTTATAAAAATTGATTTGATTCCAATTCCATCCTTTATTTCCTTTATAATTCCTTGTTTTTGTGTCGTTGTTGAAATGTTTAGTTCTTCTCCTGGTTTAATAGATTCAACATACTTGTTTTTCACTATTGTTTTTTTATCAACTAGTGGGATTTCTTCTCCTTCAATCGTTATTATACTTTTATTATATTCAATTTTTGAATTTACTTCTTTTAGAAACTCATTACCTAATATTACATCACATATTTACTCATCAGCTACGACAAATCTTCCCTTTTTCTATCGCCAGTTCTACTTCTCCATTAGACATTACTTTATTTCCTGTTCCTGTTATTATCATTTCTTGTTTATTTAATATGTTCTTTATTCCAACTTCATCACAAAATTTCTTTGTTATAAAATTATTGGTTGCTCCCGTATCTATCAAAATAAAATATCCTTTGTTGTTTATTCTTCCTATAATTCCATTTCGGCATTCTTTGTCATTTCCTTTAAATTCATATTCAATTGTGTTTAATTCTTTTGTTACCTTATTATTAATTACTTTCGCTGTACACTGAGCTGTCAAATGACCTCCTTGTCCGCATTTTTGACATGGTCTATTTTTCTGATTATTGTTTGTATTTTCTTCTTTATTACTAAGTTCTTGTTGTTTAATATTTATCTTTTTATTTATTCCTTTATTCTCAATATTATTAAATAATTCATCCCAATCCTTTGCATCTCTTATTGTGTTACTATCTTTTGTTTCTGTATGTTTTGATATTGCTAATTTTATTAATTCAAAATCTTCTTTAATTTCTTTATTTAGTCTTTTTAATAAGTAAACATAACTCAATAATGATCTTTCTTTAGTAGGTCCAAAATTTAGTAAATTAAAGAACTTCAGTTTTGCATCGCAGAGATTTGTTTCTGGCATAAATTTCTTTTTAAATCTAATTTTAAAATCATCATATGTTTTTATTTCTTCTTCGAAGTATGCTTCAAACCAATCTCTTGCTATTCCCCTAAAAGATGCTCTTATTCTTAGCAATATCTCATCACTTGGTATTACCTTTGCCATAACTTCTAATTCACTTAGCCATGTTTCTATAACTTTAATATTTTCTGTACCATCAAATTCTTTTACAAATTTGTTCTTTAAATTCATCTTTTCAAAAATTTTTGTAAACTCATATAACATTTCTGTTTGCTTTTCCCATACTGTTTCTTCTGATAACTTGGTTGTACTTGGATTTTTGTGCGAAGTACCATTGTTCGCTGAAACCAATTCTTGCTCCAGCTGTTGTTTGACTCTATGCCAACTATGTTCATCCTTATCATTTGGACCTTCTTCTGTTATTAGGTCCCTTTCATCAATACTGTCTGTGTTTAATAAATCTTGACTAATCATTTTATTTATTATTGGGGTTTAATTAAAAATCTTTTTAATTATGATTTTTGATAGATTTGACATTTGATTTACAATTTCTGAATTCATTCCACTAAGATAAAGTGTATTGAGTTCTGGTAACAAACTGATTATACAAAATGTTTTTTAATAATAATTAGAAACTTATATTTATTTTTTTAATTTTAAATTTTCATAAAAAATTTTAGTCTTTGAAATGATCATATTTAATTATTTTTAAAATATCATATATTACACTGAAATAATGTCAAGGAATGTAAAATCTAGATTATTATTTAAGGCTTAAGAAATGTTTTAACATATATTGAAAATTATATATCATAATGATAATGATGATGTAAATTGTTACAACTTAACATAATTTTATATTATGTTTTGTGGATTTTCTGACATTTTGATTAATGTAATATATAAATATTTTTTTATCTAATAAATATTTATTTGTTATTTTTTAGATCCTAAAAATATGAGTAATAACACAAAAGACGACTTGTTAAAGATTGACGAGAAAAAGATTGAATCTTTGTATCAGGAAGATGAAGTAGATCTGTATAAGAATACTGATATAAATACATTAGTTCCTACATCCTCTGAGGATTTGAACAAAACTAATCAATTTGAGATTAAAGTAAAATGTAATTCGAATTCGAATAGTAGTTTTAAAAATAGAATATTTCGAGTATTAGGGTGTAAATTGACAAAAAAACGAGTTGGTTATATTATTTTATTTCTAATAATATTAATTATTAGTATAATCATAGTAATAACAAGGTCTTTTGAAGATCCTAAAAAACCTAAAAGTTTAATTAAAAAAAATTCTACTGCTTTAGAACAGAAAAAAAACATAGAATCATTAAATCAAAAAACAATTGATAAAACTAAACATGAATTATTTAAAAATTCATTAAAGTCAAGAGCGTATGAAATATTAAATGCAGATAAGAGTGTAAATATTTTCGAAACGCTTTTACATCATGATAAATATCAAGAACATATTAAAAATTGTTTAGAATCAAAAGATAATTT